TTTTTCTTGTTACATTATAATACGCAGTTTACCTTTTTTAGTGCGCAACTTTTTATGATGGATATTGAAAATTTTCATTGTAGTCGAAAACATCAAACCACGTTACAGAATTTCTTTGAACTGCAGCAACACATCTCCGTTCATCGAATTTAACTTGCCTATTATAGAAATTTTCGTCAGATTATATTGACAATTGATAATAAAGCATAATAAAGCATATATAAAAAAATGATAACACATTACCAGACTCCACTTAAACCAGTTAATAAATTTCGTTGTTGACGACCTGTCTTAACATCCCACATTCGAAGAGTTCCATCAGATCCTGATATGACTTTGCTATCATCATGTTGGAAACATGTAATGGCACCAGAATGTGTTGTCAAAACATGTTTACAAGTTCCATCGTCAGGATTCCATATGCGAAGACTAGAATCAGCAGCAGCGGAAACAAGATAGTCATGAGAAAGATCGAGAAGACCGACAAGGGAAGAATGACCTACAATTAAATAATTGGTTAAAAATATGTATATAATAGATATCTATATACACTAAAATATTAAATCTTATTCATACCTTCTAAAGTCCATACAATTGTCCCATCCTCTAAGCTCCATACCTTTACTGTACCATCCATACTTCCACTCATACATCTCTTTCGTTTTGCATCTAATACGACAGAATATACCTTTTGTGTATGTCCGATTAATCGCCAAAGGCATTCACCAGTCATAATGTTCCAAACCCTTACAGAACAGTCGTAACTTCCGCTTACTAAAGTGTTTCCAACTCCTGCTAAAGCTCGAACTGAATGCGAATGTCCCTGAAGCGTACGAACAAAATAAGGATTATTGTCCGTATATTGAGAATTGTCGGATGGTGATGACGGAATTGTAGGCTGATAATGAGGATCATTTTTTTCAAGGTTTGGCAAGCGCCAAACTTTTAAAGTGGAATCTCTTGAACCTGTAACTATCAAAGGAACTGGTGGTTCAACAATTGGTGGCTCATTAGGATTCGTATTAACATTTTGTGGCATTATAATTTGAAGACATCGAACAGTACTCGTATGCCCCGGGAAAACATGAGTGCAAATGCCTTTTTCAAGATCCCACACTCTCACGGTTCGATCAGTAGAACCGGATACTAACGTTTTATCAACATATTGTAATGCCCATACACCACCATCATGACCCTCAAGTCGATTAATTAATTTACCCGTTGAAGTTTCATATACATTGATGCATTGATCATCAGAACCTGAAATTATCTTTTCGGAATCAAATTGAAGACATGTAACAACGTTATTGCCATGACCTTGAAAAGATATATGTTTATGTCGACCATTAATCCAATTTTGTCTCATAAGATAGTG